AACGAAGTTACGGAAAATTAATTAACACACGGAGACGTAACAATATTTACTTTATGGATAACAAGGAATCACTAACACTAAACTCTGAAATAAATTTAAAACACTAAAAGTCAATGCTTATCATTCAAATATTTATCAGACCTTCCCTTAATCTCCCTGAAATTAACTGCATTCACCAAATCCGAAGGAAACACATTCCAAAAGCCAACCACCCTGTTATAAAAATAAAACTGTCTAAGCTGAAGACGACTACTACCCTTCCAAAATTTATATTTTTGTTCATTACGAACTGAATTGAATCATCCCCAGGGAGTTAAATATCAAATTGTTTACCTTAAACGTAGGAAGAGTGATTTAGGTTTTCAGGCCCTGACCATAAAAAACAACTTAATTATGAACAACTGCAACATTTGTCTGGCATTAATGTAACTTTCAGTTAGTACTCATTGTGTAAATGTCCTTTAGATTTTGTGGGTAACACTATTTTAGAATAAATAATTAAAGTTTTGAATATTTTGTTTAGTGTGATCCCAAAGAAAAATATAAAGTGAAGAGTTTTTTTTAAATAAAATAATCTGATATAAAGCCCATGAAGTCGGCCAATTTTTTGATGTAAACAAAGTTAACTAATTGAATATTTGTGAAGTTCATGATTATCAGCTCCAATATTGTTAAAACCGAAAGGCAAATCATGAACATTAAGGGTCTGTAGTATTCCCTAAAAAAGGTTACAGAAATATGAAGTAAAATAAGTGTGCATTAATTAATTTACCCCGAGATTTATTTTTATAACAACAAACTCTGACCATCACGTTTACAAGACAGAAAAAGAAGCATGCCGTTAAAAATTAAATTATTCATATTACTGCTACTCACAAGCTTTCAGTGTGTGGTAATGTAAAAGTTATATGGTTGGTTTGTAATCTGATTTGCAACATGGGTGTTGTTAGAGTTTATTTGTATTTCTCTGTCACTTAATTAGTGGGTTAAATGTTATGTGCATGTTTTCTGATTAAGTTATAATTATTTTTTAACAATCTTTATGAATAATATGTAATCTACTCTAGTGAAACTCAAAGATAATTTCATGTGGCGGAATCATCTATGTTTGGTTTTTCCACTTCTCTCCTACAACCTGTATGACCTCCTGAGGAACACAAGTTTTCATGGGGTGTCGCTAAACCTCACTCGTAAGTTTGCCCAGCAGTTGTGCACAGCTCTAGTGTTTCTCTCCAATGCTGATCTCAACATCATCCATTGTGACCTGAAACCTGAAAACATCCTCCTGTGTAATCCTAAACGTAGTGCCATCAAAATAATTGATTTTGGCAGCTCATGTCAACTGGGACAACGGGTAAGACATTTTTGAAGGATGGTTATGCATTCATAGTACAGCCAAGAAAGTTTTTATATAATTTTTTAAAATATTTTTTCCATCAGTCCAAGTATAAAAATTTACTAATATTTTGTTATCCAGTGTGGTTATTGCTTTGAGAGTGTTTAAAGAATTTTATTAATACATTTTTTTTCCAGATTTATCAGTACATCCAAAGTAGGTTTTACCGATCACCAGAGGTCCTTCTTGGTATACCCTATGACATGGCCATTGACATGTGGAGCCTGGGTTGCATCTTAGTAGAACTGCATACAGGAGAGCCTCTGTTTAGTGGAGCTAATGAGGTTAGTTTATATTAGCTATACTATTGGAGCTGGCCTGGCATGGCCCGGTGGTCAGGGCACTTGATTTGCAATCCCTGTCTCACCAAACATGCTCACCCTTTGGGCCGTGGGGGGTGTTATATAATGATGGTCAATCCCACTATTCGTTAGTAAAAGAGCAGCCCAAGAGTTGGAGGTGGGTGGTGATGACAAGCTGCCTTCTCTAGTCTTTTACTGCTAAATTAGGGATGGCTAGTGCAGATAGCCCTCATGTAACTATGTGCAGAATTCAAAACAAACCACACCAAACTACTGGAGCTAATGAAATTAGTTTACGTTGGCCGTGCTATTGCAGATAATGAGATTAGTTACATTAGTTTTTCTATTGGAGCTAATGAGGTTAATTTACGTTAGTTGTGCTACTAGAGCTAATGAGGTTTATATTAGTTGTCCTATTGGAACTAGTGGTTAGTTTACATTAGTTGTGCTACTAGAGCTAATAAGGTTTATATTAGTTGTCCATTTGAAGCTAATGAGATTAGTTACATTAGTTTTGCTATTGGAGCTAATTTACATTAGTTGTGCTACTAGAGCTAATGAGGTTTATATTAGTTGTCCTATTGGAACTAGTGGTTAGTTTACATTAGTTGTACTAGTAGTAATTAGTTGGTTGGAGGAATGTACATATTTGATGCTTGTGATCATTTTACCAGAATAGCTTCGGTGAGGCTATCTAGTTTGGAATGATTTGTTATTAGAAGACAAGGCTTAATTCAAATATGTAATTTAGAAAATGGATACAGCCTATAAGATTCATTTCTTGTTGTAGAATATAATCATTCTGTAAAAGCTGATATAATTTAGAAATAACTTTTTCAATGTATATGAGGTTAGTTAAAAATTAATTGTGCTATTGGAGCTATTGTACCTTTCTTATATTTGTAAGAAATAACTTACTTTTAAGTGATATCTTTCTAAACTTCTTTACATCTCACTAATTATTTTCAAAGTACCAGTCAGTTTTATTATTGTTTTCAGAATACCAGTTAATATAATAATGGTTTTCATAGTACCCAATGATATAATAATGGTTTTCATAGTACCCAATGATATAATAATGGTTTTCATAGTACCCAATGATATAATAA